GAAGAAGAAGAAGAAGAAGAAGAAGAAGAAGAAGAAGAAGAAGAAGATAAAGCACAATATGGAGAAATGTAATGAGGCTAAAACCCAATCAGGCACCAAAATGGATCTTAAATGTTTATCTACTTAAATGTTTAAAAAGACTAAGAGAATAGCAAAATCTTAGCATAAAATTGATGTGAACCAAGCATCCTAGAAAATAGCATCCCAGAATTGCAGGACCATTATTAAAACAAGCCCTTTATTTTGTTATTACCTTGCGAACCTCAGGCTGAGACCACACTTGGGCTGAGCTCAAGTATTGTGTGAAATCATACTATGATTTGTTTATTTGGTTTGGGCTTAGTTTAGATTGATATGTGCACCTAACTATTGTAGGGGTTTATAAACCATGATTTAGCTTTATGGGTGAACTAGAGCATTATGGCTTCTTCAACACACTGCTGTATGGTTAAAACAAACTATGGCTATGGATAAATGAATCTAAAGCAGTGTTTCTCAACCTCAGCAACTTTAAGATGTGTGGACTTCAACTCCCAGAATTCCCCACATGGCAGAGGAAATCTGGGAGTTGAAGTCCACAAATCTTAAAGTTGCTGAGATTGAGAAACATTGGTCTAAAACATGGAAAGGTAGGTATGTAGGGGAGATAGCTTGCTTTTAGCACTTTTAAGCAAGGGTGTTATCAAACTTATTTGATCCTGTTCATAAGGACTACTCATTAAATTTGAACATGCATTAGAGCTAAGCCTCCCACCCAGGAATAGTTTCCCCTATTCTGTCTGGAGAAGGGAGGGAAAGGCCAGGCAAGTTTTAGGTTTGCACACACAGGGAAAACCAGTGCCTGGCTGGACCATGCTCCAGTCTTCCTTGTCAGCCAACTTGTCCAGGCAGAATAGGAAAAAAAATAAGTTTGGGCTTAGCTCTAACTGGATTGAAAATACTGGAACAAAGGAAGAATTCACCTTTCATTAGTTCCTGCTTAATAGAACTTGACATACATAACTACAATTTATGGATGACAATTTCTTCCCAATTTTTACGTACTCATGCTTATTTGGTTCAGTCAGACTTTGGGCACAAGACTTTTTACATTGTTGCCTAATTTACACAACACCCTTGTTTTTAAATAGTGAACTCCAAGCTATCTAAAGTTCTTTTGGTTAACACTAAGACCTCCAGAGAAAGCAAGAAAGAACCTCAAGAATAAACATCAGTTAACAGGGGTGTCCACAGGGTTGGTCAAGAAAGTCAAGATGGTGGCTGCAACTATGTGATTAAAGCCCTACCCCTTTGTACATGCATCATGAGACATGTAAAAAAGGGGTGGTGCTTTGATTGAATAGGCATGGCTGCCATCTTGTCATTTTTGACTTGCCCCCCTGTGCATGCCCTTGTCAGAACTCTTGCAGACATGTTTGGTACTGGCTGAATTTTTTGGAGGGTCTCTAGAAATTTATTTAGGATAGTAGCATATAAAGCTTACATAAAGGTGGATAATACTGCGATGATACAGTAATTCCTGTGAATTCCTATGGACAGGTGGTCCTCATGGTCCTGAAGTCCTGAATGACTGGTAGTTATGACCAGACTTTGTACTTATGGCTGTCGCAGCATCCCGCAGTCATGTGATCATGATTTTCAACTTTCCTTGCCAGTTTCCCACAAGCAAAGTCAAAGGGGAAGCAACAGGAAATTGGAAGTTGTGGTCATATGAGGTCCTCACTTAACTAGCTGCATGGTTCTTGTTTAATGACGGCAACCAGGTCTGCTGGAACAGCCATCGCTAAGCAGGGCAGTCATATGGTTTTTCATGTATGTATGTCTCTTTCTCTGTATGTGGTGGTCGTGGTTAAAATGCTGCACTAGAAGCCCAAAGTTCCAGGTTCTATTCCTTCCTTAGGCATGGAAAGTGGCTGGGTGACTTTTGGCCAGTCATTCTCACTCAGTCCTAGACTGGAAAGTTAAAAAATAACCTGCACTAGACCAGCATGATTGAGTAGTCTTCATCCTGCAGAACAACAATAACAACTGCAATGATATATGTGTATATTCTCAGCCTTGGAATGTGGTGATGGTGAAAAATTACATGGGACAAATGGTTCCTCAACACTGTATCCCACCTGATGTTCAGTTTGTCTCTCTCTTGCTCTCTCTCTCTCTCTTCTTTTTGCACAGATGCCTAGATTACATCTTGCATAACTGCAACAGAGAGAAGACACAATCAGTGTAGGGGATTTCCTAGCCATTCAGAAGACTTGAGTACTTTAGCCAACGTTTTAATAAAAGGGATATTTGGCAACTTTGCCAGTATTAAGGGAGTCTCCAGGCTCCACATTAATACTATCCTATATAAATGTCTCCCAATCTTACAACAACATTCTTCATGATTTTCTGGGAGGCATGGATGTGGATTGTAATGAACTTATAGTGCTCTTTCCATCACATCCCTGCCTTCTAACACTGTTGTCAGGGTTAGAGACAATTTCTGCAAAAAGGAGAAAGTCAGGGCAGAAAGGACAAAGGAGGGAAAATCACATTATGCAAAAAGGCAAGAAAAGGGAGACATAATACATCATTTCCTAATTAAGAACCTTAATTTTACCAGTAGTTGAAGTTGGAGGAGGAGGAGAGGACCAAATTCAATGGAAGAAATGGAAACGAATCAGATTTTGGCTTGACATTGGGAAAAACGTTCTGACTGAACAGTTTGAATGTGCAACAGCCTGTCATAGGATGTGGTGGTCCCTGCCCTAATTGAACGTACCTTTGCAAAGGCTGGGTGCCGATCTGTCAAGGATGGTATAGTTCCATCTTGCATTGCAGAAGCTGCACTGAGCAGTGGGTTGAACTGGATGATTTCTAAAATGTCCTACAATGCTTCAGTCATTCAATAACTGTACCAGTGAAGCCAGGGATGCAGATTCTGGCCCTCTCTGTCCACTTGAGGAGAAATAGCAAGCACACTTCGTTGGACACAGTTACAACAGCTTCAGGAACCCCCATCCTCCTCTATGCTTAATCCGCATTAGGTTGACCATAATTAAAGTACGCCATTGGACTAAAAATCCTAGATGCAGATCATGAATGGATTGTACATTGAACTCTCATTTTACAGGAACATGATTACAATGGCCTTTAAACGCTGCAGACCAAATGTCTACTGTGATTTATGACATCATTTGCATTGGTTTACCTCATTTTCAAAATGGCATATATGGTCATGGTGGAGGGGCAGTCCGAGAGGGCATTTTCCAGTGCATTTATTCTATAAATATGATAGCAGTACAAAAAAATGATGAGACAAAAGTGCTTAAAAGAGTATTCCATCAAAAAGAATGCAGGAAGGATTGTGGCCCAGTTCTGCATTAAGTAGTTCCAGGGACATCCACAGAAACAGGTCAAAAAATTTAAGATGGCAGCCACGGCCACAGGATTGAAGCCCTGCCCCTTTTTTAATGCAAAATACCCAGGCTTCGATCATGCATTCGTGGCCACCATCTTGGCTTTGTTGACCCCTTCTGTGGCCACCCTGGTTGCCCAGTAGCTTTATTAACCTCTTAAGAAAACCCAGAAAGATCTGAGGAGTGATCTCCCTTTTCTAGTTTGGATTTTAGCATCATGTACTGTATGAAAGTATGCCAGGGTGCATCACTATTGGCAATTCCACCTGTATTTCTTCTTGGAATTTTCCTGGGATCGCCTCCTGATCTAAATATTGTTTTCCAATTAAGGCTGCCCGACATAAGCAGCACAAGCCATCCCTTCCCACCCACATCAAGCTTTGTTTGGCTGTATTCCTTGGCTTATATTTGCTTACATTAAATGTCTATAACAACAAATGAAAGGGTGAACAATTTTTGGCCCTCTCATGATGTCCAAGGTCTGTTGCCTGAGGCAGCTGCCTCATTCTGACTAACGGCAGGGCCAGCCCTGATCACTGTGAGCAGGTAAAGATCTTTTGCTTTGGGGCTGGGATGACAGGCCCTCTTCTCCAGGTCTCTCAGACTAGCCATGTCTGTTTTTTCCCAGTCCTGTGTGTTGTTTATGACCAGATTAAGCCATATGCATAAAGGAGTTCTTTGAAAACGTATGAAGGACTTAGAGCAAAATTGCTACAAGAGCATTTAACAATGGCAAAAAAAAAAAAAAGTGAGCTGAGTCTTGGGAAGTGCCTGTAATACCCCCTTGCTGCTCCCTTTCTTCTTTAATAACAGGTGGCCCTTCCGTGAGCAGCTGGCCGATAGGTGACTCCAGCTGGGCATCTTTGCTGCATTTAGTTCATCTCACCTGCTTTGCAAAGCAAACAAGAGCCTGGAAAAAAATGGACGGAGGGCTGAGCTCTTTCAACCTGTCTCTCTGGCTGTGCGTGGGGCGGGAATCTTGGCTCAGCCACATCACTTTGGTTTGGCGTGTGCATGTGGTTGATTCTGATCTGTTTTCAGAAGTAGAAAAAATGAAGTTGGGGGTGAAGAGGAAAAGAACAAATCTGAAGGGCTTGTTTTTTCTGTACTTTGCTTTTCTTCCTTCTCGTTGCTCTCTTTAATACAACCATTTCATTATTTCTTCTCTTCTCTTGTTGGATCAGTTTTGTCTTCCCCCCAAACTCCCTTTTTTCCCTTGAAGCATGCTGTGACAGGAGCAAGCTTGCCCCTCTGAGCTGGTTTATTGTTCGGCATTAAGAAATGGCAGAATCGCTCATGAAAGATTAATGACTTCCTGCAAGCATCTTTGTACCTGAGGACAAGCAATTACAAAAATATGTCCAAAAGGCAGGGGGAAGGGCAGGGAGGGGAAGGGAGGGGAGGGGAAACAAGAAAAGATGCTGAGACTACATCAGCCAGGTATTTTCTAGCTGGGCGGCCAAGCCTTTTTTCTGAGCAAAGTACCAAATCAGGTCTGAGCACAGAAATGTCTTTGTGACTGTACCTGCAGTGGATACTGCACAGATTCTGCTTTTTGCAGTGCACTTACAAAAGTTAGTGACTGTCCCTCCTGTACAGGTGTTTGGCACGACTGTTCAGAAAAGGCCAGGAAGGACCAGGAGACACTGTAGAGACTGTCATCGGTGAATGCAAGGTAATAAGGCCTTTGCAACATGCAATTGTACATGCAATCATAGCAATCTCTTAACACACTGGTGGCAACTTTGTTTTGTAGGTTGGCCACTGAATGAAAACTGAAGAAGGGTCTGCCACCAATCCACTCCTTGGGATAAGTATCTGGATGATACACGTTATGTGATAAAACTTGTCTTAATCACATTCCTGCTTTAAAGTTTTAGGAAGAGTGGAGACCATGCAATCCCAAACTCCTTTTTTTGCTACCCCTTCAAGGGTTTCTGAGTGCACTGCCAGATGTATGAATGCTAAAAACTGGAAGAGGTTTCTCATGGTGTAAAACTGTTGTATGAGCCATAATTTGGTTTAATACGTTTAAGAAAAAAACATAAAAGCATGGACATATGGTATCAGCCTCCCTTTGAATCTTCCCACTCTGATTCTTGCCCATTACCCAAACACTGTGTGGTCCTCGATAACCTGTCTACACTCTCTCAGGTTTAGGATAGGTCTACAGGAGGGGATATCGAAGAGTCTGAGTTCACAGCAAAACAATTTGGCCACAAGAAACCAAGCTTGCCTTCTGCTTTTGTGTCCAAGCAAAATAACTGTCCCATAAGTGCAAAACCAATGCTTCTTGCAGAACAAAATGTCAGATTTGAGATCTAGGACCTTGCAGAATTTTACAAATCTAGAACTTTTCAGAATTTGCAAGAAAATTCTATGAGGTGCACTCTGGGAAATCATCCCTTGCCATGGGGGTCCATGGGGAGGGTAACAAATTACAACACCTGTGTTTCAGTGTCACAACACAAACGCCATTCCTTGCAAACTTGCATGGGATATTACATTTTGTTATTTTGGCCTCATCATGACTAGTTGCAGATGTCCCTGCCTCTTGCTGCTAACAGCAGCTCAATCATACAGAGCAGTGATTGTGGGGTGTTTTATTTCTGCCTTCCTCAACCTGGTACCTTCCGGATACGTTTGGACTGCAGGTCTCAGAATTCCCTGTCAGTACATCTGAAAGCCTAATGCCCAGGTTGGGAAAGGTAACCCTAGACATAAAGGTTGAAAAAAGAATCCCTTATGGATTCTGCATGAAAACATCAAACAGGCCATATTCCATGTGATTCACGAGATAAATGACTGGATTTCTCAGTATTTTTTTCCCCTAAGGAGGAGCAGGAAAAGACTGTTGCTTGAAACAGCCCATAAAGCAAGAGTCAGGGAAGTTCTGCTCTGCTTTCCCTTCCATGGCACATGGAGAGAGAGCCGAGTCCACATTGCGCCATGGCTCTCATCCATATTGCGTACCAACAAAGCTGCTTTTCAGAATTTTTTTTAAAAAGTTGAACCATAGATTTCACTGGTGTCATATGCAGTTTGGCCCTGCTTTCAGACCCTCAGATTAAAAATGATAGTTCACAATATATAGCTTCCTTCCTTTGTTTTTAATGGAATCATCCTGAGTTCTTGTAAAGGTTCATTTTCTGCTTGATTTCCTAGCATTTGCTTTGGGTTCCCAGAGAGACTCCAGGTATGAGTCTGAGGAGAAACCCAATATACTGAGTACTTTAAAGTGAACATTCATCATTTAACTTGCCTTCTGTCACTGCCTTCAAGGGAGATGGGGGAAACTAAAAACAATCTCCTGTTTCCCTCTAAAAAGCACCAAAGTTGCACACAGATACAATGGACTGGAACTCATTTATATTCAAAGGAAGTATACAGCTATTATTCAGTTGAGAATTCTTTTTTTTTTTTTAACTCTTCTAATGTCAAACTATAATGTGAAGGGAATCAAATTTAACCTAAGAAAATGCCACACAAATATTTTCATCACTAGCCATACAGAGTAAAATAGTAGATTTTTGCAGTCTTACAGAGCACTTTTGAATATATTTATGTAGAAGGAAATTCCAACTGTGTTTCATGGAGCTTCTTTTGGGTTTAACTGATCCTCTCCTTCAAAGTCTGGGTTTTAATTGAGTTTTAGGCTGCTTTTTGTTTTGCATTTATTGCTGGATATTATCTTTTAATCTTGTAGCTGTCGGATAGACAGATAAATTGCCTAAGTATTTTACAGAAATGTATAGTTATTGATAGCATGCTAAAATCTGGCCTCCAAGTTCCTGAAACAGTGTACAATGTAAGAAGTACACACATCTTTTTTAAAAAATCTTGTTTTGTAATAAAGCCATTTGCAGTTGCATACTAGGCCTTAAATCTGGAAAAATTTTCTTAAGTTTTCTTAAGTTAAATATATGCTTTGTGATACTCAGGGAATGCAACCCCCACCCACGCCTCTACTGTATGCTGATTAGAAAACTCTCCTACTGATGAGGGAGTCTGCCCTCTCTGTGTATATGTGTGTATACACACAAAAACAACACCCTCACAATCACCCCCACTCTCACTCCCACCCCCATCTTTTCTCTAAAGAGCTCAAGATAGCCTGTATAGGGTCATGTGGTTGAACTAGAATTTGACTCTGGATCTCTCCAGTTGTAACCCCAGACTTTAACCACTATACCATGGTCTGATTCAGAAAAAGGAAGCTATGTATGACTCAACTGGGATATTTAATAAACTCCAAGAAACTTGGGGACAGGACAGTCACTGAGATCACAAGGCACACCTTCTTTTCACTATATCCTATGTCAATCAATATTGTTTCTCCATTGCTCTGTGTTAGCTGGAATCAGGGGTGCCATAATAACAGTACATATTTAACTTCAAAATCTTTGCTTCCTTGTGTGAAGTATATTGGTCCAGTCCTGAGTTATACTTTCAGTGAGGCCCCCTCTACAGACCAGTGTGAGCCAAAATCCAATTTGAACAATCAGATTTGGAAAACCAATCTAATTTAATTTGATTCTTCAAATCTATCTGGAAAATCATCCTCATTGAGTAGTTGAATCTGGTTAATTAGGATTGCTGAATTAGTTTGGAAAAAGCTATTTCTGCACATGTGCAGGAATGTACGGACTGTCTGAATTGTTCTAGAGGCATCTTATTTAATGCAGTCATATGAAATGATTTATCAGCTTAATTTGGAAGATCAACTTGATTCTGAAATTCATTTAAGTAAACTTTGAAATGATTTCTGTACTGAATATTTGCACAGTTCCAGCTCTCTCTGTGGGTCACAGGATAATTGTACCTCTAAAAGAAGGCCCTTCTGGCTTGTTTTTAGTTGGTTCCTTAGCCAAATAAGGTGAGGAAAAATATCAATGGTCCCTCCTTATTGCAAATTGTGTTATTTCAATCATACATCTCCAACTTCATGCACTGTATTTGTCCAAGCACTACAGGATGATTAGAATAAATGCCATATACAAAACAAAGATGATGGAAGAAGCCATGGAAATAACCTTGGAGAAGGCATCCAGAAGCGGTTAGGGCAACAACAGGTGCAGAAGAAGCATGTGTGAACCCAGGGGGGCAGGAAGGTGTTAGAAAGAGACACAGTCTGGCTTTCCCCTAACTCCCTAGGTTATAAGAGGGAGGGAAGGGAAAACATGGGCAGACTTGCAAAGATTCTGTCTTAATACAGTTTCTATCTCGCTTCTTCAAAGTCCAACTTTCGCTTCAATAGAGAATCACAGGGAATACCATGTTTGGCACGATTCTGATCTTTGTAGCTATAGATACATCAAATAGAACTGTTGTATAACTGTGAAAAAAATAATATTTGTGTTTTATGAATACATAATACCTCATCTTCATATGTTTTAATCAAAAAGGCATGTCTGTTACCAAAAACTGAAGAATGAGAGCCAGTTTGGTGTAATGGTGAAGGAGATGGCCCAGAAACCAGGAGTCTGGGAGTTGTAGGCATCCCTTAGGCATGAAAGCTGGCTGGGCCAGTCACTCTCTCTCAGCCCAACCCACCTCACAGGGTTGTTGTTGTGGGGGAAATAGGAGGCAGGAATATCAGGTATGTTTACTGCCTTCAGTTGACCAAATTAAAAAAAAAAGAAGCAGGATTAAAAAAAATAAAGGGGGGGGGGAAAATAGGAAACAGAAGAAATGCAATTGTTTTTGAAATGTTAATGACACCAAATTAAAATTACTCCTCCCACCCCTGTCATATACAGAAAGAGAGGAGATGGTTGACGTATAACAGCTGCTGCTGCTGCTACTACTACTACTACTACTACTACTACTACTACTACAATGACAATTAAACCAATAATAATACATCTTAAGCAAGTTTGAGATAGATGTCAGACTTGGCAACTACTGGGTCTGTTAGCTTTGATACTGTCTTCCCATTTAAATCATTTCTCTTTTTTAAAACAAAATAAAAACAAGTTTATTTATTTTGCCATTTACAGAATGGTCTGTGACACCATCAGAATTTCTCTGTATCTCAGAAGCATCTTTGGGTATAAAGTTGGGGGCTGCTGCTGCAGAGTGAAAAGCGGAAGTGTTTGATTTTAACATGACCCAAACCTTGTCCTCAGTCAAGAAACATCAAATTTCCTTTACATTTCAAACAAATGTGTTTATCATGTCACTGTCTAAATTAGTTTAAACTTGTCATCTCTTGGGTTATGTGCATGACATGAAAAAAATTATGCTACCAAGAGACTTCTTTTGGGCTTCTGTATTCTAATTGGGCATGTGTATGGAGAGAGAGATGATTGCCAGGGAGACCACAGTATGTGTTGATAAATGAGTTAATGCAGCTTTTGCACTGGACAAAATCCCATCATGGATAACCTTTTGGGTACTGCATACCAACACTGGGTAAGCATAAAGCAAAGTTGGCAGGGTGAAGTGGGATATAATTGTTATATAAACAAATACATTCATATACTCGCCTATATATATATATATGTGTGTGTGTGTGTGTGTGGCTGGATGGTGTAATGGTTAGAGCACCGCCTTTGATGCAGGAGACGGGTTCAAATCCTGGCTGGTACCTACCCTACCTTGGGCAAAGACCCCACTAATGCTTTACCTGCCTACCTCAAATATGAGAGTGACACGAACTAAGAGAGTTATGCCGGCTCGGATGTCGCCCGTATTAACGAGGTTCGTGTCAGATGCTGGGGAACCAGGACAATCTGATGATAAGTGGGCTACTGGAACAAACCATACATGGGCGAGACAAGAGAACCTGGAATTGATGGAATGCTACTACAACAGTAGACCTGATGAGAGGAGGTATATGAAACATATGAGGGAACTATGGATAGACAGAAGGCCTACATCCACACTCACTGAGAAACAACTAGTTACCCAGTGCTTCAACATGGTGAAGAAGAAGCTGCTCTCACAACTTGAGATAGACCAACTCCACATTACAGCCTGGACTCAAGCAGACCTGGAAGAACAACTGGATGTGCAGCCAACACCTGAAGCTGGAATGCCACTGCCACCCCCTCCATTACACAGCACAGCAGCTGATATGAGCCATAAGTTCATGGATAAACTAGCTAGTCAACCCTTGAGACTGATTACCAAGGCTCAGTGGAGAAGTGCCATCAGATAAGTGTGCTAGAAGATGCCAATAGAGCCCTCCAGACAATCCCTACTACCACCATAACTCAAACCAATGAACTGGTATATGCTACAGCCGCTGTAATCCTGGAAACATGATCAGGAAGAACAGCAGTACGTACCCCCCCGGAAAATGAGATTGAAGGCTAAGATCAAGGCAACTCGGAGAGAAGTCAGTCAGCTGGTGG